GCCGTTCCGGCTGTCGCGTTCTCCGTACCCGTGCAGCAGCAGCAGCAGCAGCAGCAGCAGCAGCAGCAGCAGCAGCAGCAGCAGCAGACTTCTTCATCGAGTCCAAGAGAAATGCAAATAATGCGGTGAAGGTTGAAGAGAGTCATCCCCGCGTTTACGCCGAAGACGCGGCGCACCGGCACGAGGCCGCGGGGCCTTTGTGGGGTTTCTTTGAGTTCGGGGAGGTGCCACTCGAGGGCGATTTCGCACATGTCGTAGTCATTAAGTGCAGCATTTTCGAGTTTTGCTGCTGCTGCTGCTGCTGCTGCTGCTGCTGCTGCTGCTGCTGCTGCGGGGGGCGCGGGGGAGGCGAAGCTCGCGGGGAGGCGCGAAAACGCGCACGCGGGAGACGACACACACGCCCTGCTGCTGCTGCTGCTGCTGCTGCTGCACGGGTACGGAGAACGCGACAGCCGGAAGCCGGGCTGCTGCTGCTGCTGCTGCTGCTGCTGCTGCTGCTGCTGCTGCGGAGGGGGGGGGCGCGGCGGCTGGTGAGCGAGCGAGAGAGAACCCACGGACACCGTCGAGTCGTCGCTGTCCTCCTGCTGCTCCTGCTGCTGCTGCTGCTGCCGCAGCAGCCGCTGCTGCTTCTGCCGCGGCCGGCTCCCCGCCCCCGCAGCCGCGCCCCCTGCAGCAGCAGCAGCAGCAGCAGCAGCAGACGGCGGCGTCGGCCACCGCGCTGCTGCTGCTGCTGCTGCTGCTGCTTCTGCGGAAGAACCTCGAGGCAGCCAGTCACTTGCTTCCGAATCTTCACTGTCTCCTTTTTGTCTTCGCCGCCGCTTCGCCCGGGGCCCCACACGGGGCCGCAGGTGCCTCTTAGCTGCTGCAGCAGCAGCAGCGCTGCTGTCTGCTGCTGCGGGGCTGCTGCAGCACAGAGACGGGGGGCCCCCCACTTCCGTGGGCTGCGCAGCAGCAGCAGCAGCGCCCTCGCTGCTGCTCCCGCCAAACGCCCCCAGGCAACGCTTGTACTGCTGCTGCTGCAGCTGCTGCTGCAGCTGCTGCTGCAGCTGCTGCTGCAGCTGCTGCTCCTGCAGCTGCTGCTGCAGCTGCTGCTGCAACTGCTGCTGCTGCAACTGCTGCTGCACCTGCTGCTGCTGCACCTGCTGCTGCTGCAACTGCTGCTGCTGCAGCTGCTGCTGCTGCAGCTGCTGCTGCAGCAGACCAGACTCAGGAGGAGCAGGCCACCCGGGGGCCCCCAACAAAGAAGTACCCCCCATGTTCTGGGGGGCCCCCAGCAGCATTGAACTGACTATGGCGGCCCAGCCGTCGCCGTCCCAGTCGGGGGGCCCCTCGAGGGGGGCCCCCTCAAAGAGAGGCTCGTGGGCCTCGTAGTTCATCTTGCTGCTGCTGCTGCTGCTGCTGCTGCTGCTGCTGCTGCTGCTGCTGCTGCGGATGGTGCGGGTTTTTGTCCGAGGAGTGCGGGCAGAAGGCTGCTGGGAGCAGAAAGCGGTCAACTCTCTGCTGCTGCTATTGCTGCTGCTTCGCTGCTGTTGCTGCTGCTGCTGCTGCTGCTGCTGCTGCTGCTTCGGCGAGGGCCCATCTGGGTCGCGGGCAAAAGCGCAGCAGGAAAGACCGCCAAAGAGTAGCCAAAAGAAGACAAAAAAGCGACAAAAGAAGACAAAAAGGAGACACAAAAAGACAAAAAAGAGACACGAGAAGCAGCAGCTGCAAGGGAGACACAGGGGCCCCTGAGGGCTCGAGAAAAGCCAACAAAATGGAGTGTCTAGACACCGGAGGGCCCGAAAGGGCCACACGAAGGCCCCAGCTGGGGTGTATCTACACTGCAGCCTGGGGCCCCCCAAAGACAGGGGGAGGCAGTGAGAGGGTTTTGAGGCCTTGGGGAGGGGCAGGGCCGGCCAAACCCTAAACCCTAAACCCTAAACCCTAGTTTGTAAACCCTAAACCCTCGGCTCGCAGTCGTGCAGAAGGACACGAGGCAGCGCACTGACACGGCGCTTCAGCGGCGGCAGCGGCGGCTGCGGCTTCCTTGAGACTCGAAAAGGACAAAAATTAAGAAATAATCAAATAACAAAAACATAAAGCGAAGTTCTTTTTAAATATATCCACAAGTGCTGCAGAACGCGCAAGAAAGGCCCCAGCGGCTCTCGCGCCGGTGGCCGCCACGCAGCACTCCCAGCCCCCACTGGGGCCCTTCTGCTGCTTTTTCCGGCTCTTTCCCTGAAATATATTATTTAAAATGCAAAATTATATTTTTAAAACTTTAATTTTATTTATTTGCGACTTTAAATGGCCAATCGGGAAGAAGCGGATGCGGAGAACCTGCGGTGTACGTACACCTCAGACCAAGTGACCTGACCCGACCGGACCGCTCTCGCGCGCCTCCCGTGACACCCGAAATTAAAACTTTTTGCAAATTAAAATGAATTAATTTAATTAATTTTGCCATTTATTTCCTTCTGGAGTTTCCTGCAAAGACATCTTCCTCATTTGGCATAGCCTCGTGACCCTAAACCCTAAACCCTTTCCAAGAACCGCCTCGCCTGCGCTCTCAGTCGCCGTGAAACCCTAAACCCTCAACCCTAAACCCTAAACCCTAAACCTTAAACCCTAAACCCTAAACCCTAAACCCTAGCCCTGACTGCCTTCAAAAGAAGACCCTTCGCCCTTTCTAGTGCCGCGCAGCGAGGCTCCCAAGCCCGCTGCTGCAGCTGGAAGCGAGAAAAGCAAATTCATTTAAAAGTCCAAAAATAAAAACATATTTGGATTAATGTTTTAATTGTTTTGTGCTGCTGCAGAGCCTGAGCCAGCCCCAATGCATGCAATCTGCTGCATGCACTTTTAAAAGTGTTTTATTTTCGATTTGCGAGGGTTTAGGGTTGCTTCTTGGTGTCCATACACTGGAAGCAAACAAAACCACTTCGACTCTTTATTTTTTATTTTTCATTTTTGTTTTTATTTCAGAGTCCAGCATAAAAGGGCCTCAGAGGCAGCTGAGGCTCTTTGCTGTTTGCAGCCTTTGTGGTTCAGCGTTTAGTGTTTAGTGTTTAGGGTTTAGGGTTTAGGGTTTAGGGTTTAGGGTTTAGGGTTTAGGGTTTAGGGTCTGGAGACCCGAGCTGAAGCCTCTACCGAAATGACCTTAAAAGCTTCAAGGCAAGTCTTTGGACTACTGGGAGAGAACTTGGAATTTAAAACAAGGTAGCTTTCGTTTGCTGCTGTCTTGCTACAGCCGCTGCTTCTCCTGCAGCAGCAGCAGCAGCTGCTGCTGCTGCTGCTGCTGCTGCTGCTTCTCGTGTTGCAGCAGCAGCAGCAGCTACTGCTGCTGCTGCTGCTGCGTGCTTGAGTCTTGTGTACACGGGGGCCACTCTCTTCCTAAGTGCTGCATTGGGGGAGAAAAGATAAATTAAAATAAATGTTTAAAATAATAAATAAAAAGAAAACCCTTTTGTAAACTTTACAAATAACAATCCAATTAAAGGCGCAGCAGCAGAAAGCAGCAGCAGCAGCGGCGCCAGCAGCAACAGCAGCAGCCGCAGCTGCAGCTGCAGCAGCGGCAGCAGCAACAGCTGCAGCAGCAGCAGCGGCAACAGCAGCAGCAGCAGCGACTGCTGCCTAGTAGAGTGTAGAAGAGAGCCAATATTCAAAACACTAAACCCTAAACCCTGAATTCCAGACCCCGTATGCCATGCCGTAGGCCTAAACCCTAAACCCTAAACCCTAAACCCTAAACACTAAAGGGTTTTCACTGAAACGCGACTGGTCCCATCAACTGGCGCACATTGCCTCAAGAAGGGTTTAGGGTTTAGGGTTTAGGGTTCTCACATTTGCTTTTGGAGTTTAGGGTTTAAGGCTTAGGGCTAAGGGTTTAGGGTTTAGGGCTAAGGGTTTAGGGTTTAGGGTTTAGGGTCTAGGGTTTGTGGTGCCTTGCCCCGCAGGAGTTGGCCCGGTGTGTAGCGTAGGCCCAACCTGGGTTTGAAACTCTAGGGTTTGGAGTTTAGGGAATAGGGTTTAGGGTTTAGGGTTTAGGGTTTAGGGTTTAGGGTTTAGGGATTGGGTTTTGTTGCTGGGGCTTATCCTACCCAATACAAATACTGCAATTCAGGGTTTGCTGCTAGGGTTTAGGGTTTAGGGTATAGGATTTGGGTTTTGTTGCTGGGGCTTATCCTACCGAATACAGATACCGCAATTCAGGGTTTGCTGCTAGGGTTTAGGGTTTAGGGTTTAGGGCCTAGAGTCGAAGTTCTAGGGTTTAGGGTTCTGTAAAAACATTTTGGGGTTTCCCGTTGGCGGTTTAGGGTTTAGGTTTTTGGATCTGGGCTGTAGGGCTAAATGTGCGGGCCTAGGGTTTAGGGTTTAGGGTTTAGGGTTTAAGACTTAGGGTTTAGGGTTTAGGGTTTAGGGTTTAGGGTTTAGGGTTTAGGGTTTCGGCTGCGGGCGCCGTCCAGCGGCGCCGCAGGGCTCGTGTCTTTGCGCAGAGAAGCACTTTGAATTTTTTTTGAATAAATGAAATAAATGAAATAAATGAAATAAAATAAAATAAAATAAAATAAATAATTTAATTTAATTTAATTCTTTTAATTCCCTCAGTTGCTGCTGGAGGGCCGCGAGCTGCTGCAGCGCCTCGCCGCAGCGGCTCAGCCCGCTGCAGACCACCAGCAGCAGCAGCAGCAGCAGCAGCAGCAGCAGCAGCAGCAGCAGCAGCAGCAGCGTTGTGGGGCTGCGACTGCAGGCGACAAAGCGAAATAAATAAAAATTAAAATTTATTTTTATTTTAATTGCGAAGACGCAGCAGCAGCTGCTGCTGAGGGCCTCGAGGCCCTGCGGTCCAGAGCGCGTGTCTCCCCCGGGTCCCCTGCAGCAGCAGCAGCAGCAGCAGCAGCAGCAGCAGCAGCAGCAGCAGCAGCAGCGGCAGCAGCAGCAGCGATGGATGAGCTGGACGTGGCCTCTGTGGAGCGGCGGGCAGTAGAAGGCGAGCTGCTTGCTGCAGGTTTCCTGAGCAGCCC